TTTTTGCCAAAATCCAGATCTGTCCATTAATATTATTTATACTCTCAAGATATTTTGCCTTTTCAAAGTTTTGATTTATGGCTGTGGGCTAATAGACCTTCTTACCAGGCTTTCATCTCGTCCTGTTCAGCTGCTTTGACCTGAAGTCAGGTTCTTGTGCTGCCATGTTGCCATGCTGCCGCCGCGACTCCGATTCAGAGAGCAAATCTCCAACCTGCGAGGGACCTAAGATTGTAGCCCCACTCGAATTGTACGATTGTTGTGTTTTCTTTTTAACATGCTGTATTGTCTATTGTTTGTCTTCTCCCCCTCCCTCTTATGAATTGTGAGCCGCCCTGAGTCCCCCCAGGGAAAAGGGCGGCATACAAATAAAGGCAAAACAAAACAAAACAAACAAACTGTGAAGCAGTATATAAATCTGTTAGTCCTATTGCTATCGTGTGATTGGAGCCTTTCACATTTCATGCTTAAACATAAAAAGGGAAAAGGTTCAATGCCATGATCAGGCCTAGAACTGTTGACAACTTGATGTTGCCCTTGCAGATATCCTGGAAAAAAATCCCACAAAGGCTTATTTTGGCGAAAGGCATCACCTACCTGTTCTGGATCTGCGTGCCAGGAAGCTGAGCTTTCACTTTCCCATGCACACCGGTCATATGGTCTTCCAGTTTCTGGCATGCATGAACACACGAAGACCAGCTGGCTGGTGTGCACATGTGCGCCAGAAACCAGAAGCTCAGCTTCCCAGCGTGTGCATGCATGCCAGGGAGCAGCTCTTACGGTTTCTGGCGCTGGCCAGCACACGTGCGCACCAAAACCGGGAGCAGCAACAGGCAACGGCTAGCGTGCCCAGAGAGATGGCTCTGCGTGCCACTTCTGCCATGCAAGCCATAGGCTTACCATCAATGTTATATAGTGTATTGTGTGAACCCAGACAAAACAGACCCTTAAAACCTAAAGCACAGGATTCAGAAGTTGGATGGTCTGGAGAGACCCACATTCAGATCCACTCAGGAAGTGCTCTGCTTACGCCCTCGAGTGCAGCAATACCCAGAGGCCCACTTTGAGCCCAGAACAATGGGCTAATCAGCCTCTTAGCCCACCAATCTCATGGGTGGCTGGCGTGAGTGGGTGGCGTGCACCCACTCACCACTCACAATACTTCTTTCCTACAAAGCGACCTTGACTGTGTCAGAATAGTTGAACAATTGGCAACTCCAAATCTCAACCAACAAATGCTGTGCCTTTCACACTGGCAACAAAAATCAGAACACCAAATATAAGCTGGGCGGATACGACCTCGTAGACGATCCTCACTCAGTCAAACACCTAGGAGTACTCACCTAAACCTCCGAGCTCACTGTAAAAGCATCGCCAAAAAGGCATTAAGAGTTGTTAACCTAATTTTGAGAAGCGCTTTCTCCGGTAACACTGTCCTGCATACAAAACCTTTGCCAGACCAATTGTCGAATACAGCTCATGTGCCTGGAATCCGCACTGTTATATCGGACATTAATACAATTGAGCAGGTCCAGAGGTATTTCATGGGAAGAGTCCTCCACTCCACTGCTCACAACAGAATCCCATGTGCCACTAGGCTTGAAATTTTGGGCTTGGAACTGTGTTGCCTTCAGTCTGACCTAAGCATTGTACACAAAATTATCTGCTACTATATCCTACCTGTCAATGACTACTTCAGCTTCAACCGCAATAATACACGGGCAAACAATAGATACAAATTTAAGGTTAACCGTTCCAAACTCGATTGCAGAAAATACGACTTCAGCAACAGAGAGGTCGACGCCTGGAATGCTCTACCCGACTCCGTTGCTACATCCTCAATCCCCCACAGCTTCAACCTTAAAATACCTACCGTGGACCTCACCCCATTCCTAAGAGGTCCGTAAAGGGGGCGTGCATAAGCACACCAGCGTGCCTACCGTCCCTATCCTACTGTCCCCATTTAGCTGTTTCCTGTGTTCATGTCCATGTTTTTACTTGTACCTGTTATCTCGTACATGTTTGACTTGCTAAATAAATAAATAAATAAACACATTGCCTTGAGTTCCTGGAGGAAAGATGGGACAGAAACCAAAGGGGAAAAACAACTCACTCCCTCCCGCTCCATTAAAGAAACGTGGGCTCACAAGATGCGAAGGAACGGGTTGTAGAGAAACTCCTCGGCCAAAGTAGAAGGCACTGTTGGAAGGTCTTCATCTTCTCGGAGCTGTGAAAGAATAAATCAGGGAGACCTGTTGTTCTTTTAGCTTTGCATCACATCCAGCCAATCTGATACTCGCAAAGGGGTGGGTGGAGGGGGAGAGAGGTTGGAATATTGGAGGATGGGGATGGAGTGGGGGGGGGGGGGTTGAGGGTTGGGAACTAATCTGTGCCGGTGTGAAAAGTGAGACTTACCAATCCAGTCCAAGTCAACCGAAAGTATGAGGAGACGGAGAAGGTGCAAATTGAGAGTTCGTTGTTGTTGCCTGCCAGGAGATCTGGCAGCAGATTTGGGCAGTGAGGAGGTTGGGGAGGAAGATGGGCCAGTCCTGGAGTCTGGGGAAGGCTGTGATGAGGGCTCTGTGTTGGAGGCAGAGAGGGGGCCAGGGCATCTGACTGTTATCAGCTGCTTTCAGAGTCATAGATCAGTGGGGCAGACAAACAGCTGGAGCCTGTTCCCAGTGTGCGCTTGTGCAGAGTTGCCAGACGAAGGGAGCAACTAAGAAACAAGGGTCAACTTGGGAGTAAAGCAACAGATGGACAGTGAATGGCCCCTCCCATAGGGAATAAAGAGGAGCGAAAGGGGAGTGGAGTTTGCAGGAGACAATTAGTTCATTAGGGTGAAGGTCTGTTCCTGACTTCTTGCCAAGTAATTGCTGCTAAGCGTGGCGTTTGGCCTGGCAGCTCTCCAAGTCTGATAAAGGTGTGAAATCTCTTGAAAGATTGTTGGCCAGGATTTTGCTGGAGAGGAATTCCCTTTAACCTAAATAAAAGGGGTTTTACCTGGTTGAGGAGTCGGCTTTTGGGAAGCCTGGATCAGAACATCCATCACCTAAACAGCAGAACTCTTAATTGGACATTGACCAATAATCGGGGGTGGAGGGGAGGTGTGGCTAGCAGGAAAGGGAAAGTTAATTCTATCCTTTGTGTGCCAAACCATCAGATTCTGCTTCACTACTTCTGTAACTACTTTTGCTTTCAGTAACGTATACTCTAGGACTGTGATGGTGAACCCATGGCAGAGCCCTCTCTGTGGGCATTCAAGCCGTTGCCCTAGCTCAACTCCAATGTGCATGTATGTGCGCCACCTACCGGCCAGCCCTGTCTGGTCTCTACCACGCATGCACAGGGGGCATGCGGGAGATGCACGCGCATGTGTGGGGGGCTAGGGGGCCACACGCATGCAGGGTGACGGGGAGGTTACACGTTCATGCATGGGGAGCACGGGGTCGCGTGCACATGCGCAAGGGGGTGGGGGCGCAGGGGGGTGGGGGATGTGAGGGCATGTCGCATGCATATTGCATTACGTGTGAGGGCGGGCGCGCATGTGCTTTCAGCACGTGACGACAAAAACATTAGCCATCACTGCTCTAAGAAACAATGAGCCAGGAGTCTTTCTTGGCTAACTAACCCACTTGAGTCTGTTTGCTAACTAGCTAACTTAATTGGGATGGATGACAGGCCTTTTCAAATGTACCAAATGCCTTGTGGTTGACCCTGAGGAACTACAAAAGGCTTAGGGGATGAGGGCCACCTTAACAGCATTGTGGGCCCTAGGCAAAGCCGCATCCTACAACAACTATCACAGGGATAAAAATGTAAATGGTTGATAAAACTAAACATATTTCCATGTTAGTATTAATTTAAAAAATGCAGTAAAATGTCATAAATATGTTGCTGTATTTATATCAGTGGTCTCCAACCTTGGCAACTTTAAGACCTGTGGACTTCAACTCCCAGAGTTCCTCAGCCAGCAAAGGTGGTCTCCAACCTTGGCAACTTTAAGACCTGTGGACTTCAACTCCCAGAGTTCCCAGCTTTGCTGGCTGAGGAACTCTGGGAGTTGAAGTCCACAGGTCTTAAAGTTGCCAAGGTTGGAGACCACCTTTGCTGGCTGAGGAACTCTGGGAGTTGAAGTCCACAGGTCTTAAAGTCGCCAAGGTTGGAGACCACCTTTGCTGGCTGAGGAACTCTGGGAGTTGAAGTCCACAAGTCTTATTGGAGACCACCTTTGCTGGCTGAGGAACTCTGGGAGTTGAAGTCCACAA